CAAGTCACTGTATAGGCCACATACGCATTCATTACGCCACTACGATTCCGAATGGAAGTCGAATACGGTGGCGCATACCTCAGAGGGATTGATCAACGCCCCAAGATTTTATCCTTTATAGCTTCTTCCCAGCCTACCCTTTCTCTTTCTGACATTTCATTGACTTCCCTGTATTTCCTGATTTAGTTCGAGAAATTCCACTCTCCCACTTCCATGGCATGTAAACTTGAATGGATTGCTCAGCAGTTTTGTCCAAAGAGATTAATACCTTTCTACATATTACAACATTTCTGTACATTTCAAAAGTAAAACACGTGTGCGGTCTCTCGAACAAGAGCGCTTTTTCTGCTCTCCTTTCTACGCTTCAGTGCTCAAACTGCAAGGAATATGGTATGGGTATGGAGGGGGAGGGTGGAGCATGACTGGAAATGTAGAAATCGGCGATATCAACGGATGCTGAACGGTACCGATTTGTACGTGTCGATATATTGCTGCTAATTGCTCATATTATCGAGTCGGAAAAAGAAGGAGGACTGATTCCTAGTATGGAATTCTAACTAGAATACAAAAATGAGGAGAGTCCAACGTGAGCCGAGAAATGGATCTGGATGATAGCATCAGAAATGAAGACAAGAAAGGATTTATAGGAAGTTCGACGTTAATCCAGGTGAAAATGTAGTACTATAGGAGTCGATAACCTTGAAAAGAATGAGCCTGCTTTCACGAATTTCAGCTGTGTTCGATAGATAGTTTGCAGTTTCTGTTTCTAATTGTAAGTGCTCAACATGGAATGCAAGTTGCATTGCAAGTCCAATCAAATAATTAATTACGCTTTCTTTCTCAACTAATTGGTATCATTCAGAGCAATGCATAATCTCCGACTCATCTCCCAGAGCTTACTGCTTTGTTTCTGCTTCTGAATCCCGAATATTCCCAGCCGTTGCATTTGACTGAATAGGCTAACCAGGTGTGCCAGGCTATCAGTGGAAATAGGTAAAACACCGAAGAAGAGTTTGAAACATCAAATTGCCTCGGATACGTGCGTGGAGCGGTGGGAAATTCTCTTAAAATTCGGCAAGTATGAGGTTGGCATAGCAAAGTGAGTTACTATCACGACTAACAGTGAATGCTTTCCTCATTTGATTAATAAGAGTGGACCAATTTGCATTCGTTTGACGACTTCATCGTAATTCCTTTAACTGTTCAGCCGTTGCTTACAATATGGAAACGCTAGTGATTGTATTGTTTCGATATAAAGATCTTTATTTACAAATTCTGATACGATTTACAATTTCCAGATTCTGATGCACATGGATGGGCTCTGCAACGAATATACCACTTCGAGATTTTACAAAGCTCTAAGATATGCCAACAAACCCCTCCTTGGCGGAACAACGGGCCTGAGAAAATTTACTTTGCTGAAAATTCATCGGTTACCTCATTGCTCAGATGATGCCAAACATTCTCAGTGAATTTCAAAAAAAGACCACTCCCAAGTAATGGGTCTCTCATAATTGCGTCGTACCTTACGTATGGGTCTACACGCAGCATGCCCGTGTAACTGCGCTCAAAAACGTGGCGACATGACGTAAATGACCGGTGTTAAGAGTTATAAAAGACATATTAGCCGGAATTTCATACACTCTAGAGCGCAATCTACAGTCGTTCTATAACAAATCGAGTGTGCACCTCTGCTGAATCTTAGCGGCACATAGTTAAATATCAGCGAATCTCCTGCTTTTCAATGTTCTGGCTGCGCAAATAGAAACACAACACAGATAGCGTCAATTGCCTTTTGGAATAAAAGTTTCTTTGAGTGCACATTATCCATGGCAGTACTCCTCACTCGACTGTTACAAAAAAACCGTATTCAAGGTGATTAGACAGAGTAGCATAGTATTAGTCATTGACACGAATGTAATCATTGACACGAAAGTGAACAAAAAAGTGCTTGATGGGAAACCAACGTCTCCTTATCTTCAAATCCTACCCTCACAAATCGTCTTCAGAGGCAGTCGTAGCAATAATCTAGAGTTTTTAATACTGCACGAATAAGTGTTCGTTTCGAATGCCCAATTTTTTTTTGGGCGGGAGTGGGAAGGAAGAAAGGGGGGGGGGGGGGGGGGGGGGGGGGGGGGGGGGGGGGNGGGGGGGGGGGGGGGAAGTGAGGTGGGCAGTTGAAACTGCATAATAAATTCAATTGGGCTCGGGTGATTCCACAAAACACCAACGTTTTTCATACGAAGAGCCTGGATTTTGGAGCCTGGAGAGCCTTGATTTTCCTTTATACAAAAAAAAAGATGAGTTCGATGCACACGGTGCCCACTTATATCTTTTGTCAGTCGATGTTTATTGAAAAACAAGTCGGATTGCCCGGCTAACGCCAGGCTCTCCTCCTTCTTGTGTCATACACCCTAACCCGAGAAATGATGAACTAAAGGGTTTTTTCCCTTCTTCAAGGTTTATAGTTTTTGAGCTTTTTTTTCGCCGTTTAGCTGAGTTTAAGTTTTTTACCACCGTTTAGCTGAGTGTGAGTATGAAACTGAAATAGAACTCTTTGACACAGCAGAAATCGAATGCTTTCCACTTCTTTGATAAAGTTGTAGTAAGTCTAATTCCCACTCCTTTTTTGGAACAAATGACAGTTTCCTGTACACGAAATTCGATACAGGACTAACAGGGCAGTGCAAATGGTATTCAGTTAAAGTCGGTGCTCACGCCTTTGATTGGAAGTCTCGAACTTTTGCTCTCTATCTTTGAAATAAATACTCATCAAAAATCCAACTGTTAGACAATCAAAGATGATGCTGTGATGCTCTGAGTGATGATAGCACCGCTATCAGATGTTCTTTATCAGTGGACCCCTTTCTTTATGAAGATATCATTAGTTGGGAATTCCAGACTATTGGTGGTCGGTTAAGTTCTGTCGCAAATGATATCGACCAAATAGGACCCTTCATTGAATCACAAACCTCGCTGGGTAGCGGTCGTAGCCTAATAGTAAAAAATGAACAAAGTTCTAATCTGCTTATCGTATTGCCCTAATGGATCCCTATGCTGCACTTACCACTCACTTTTGTCACCCTGCTTTACAATCCCGTCTTATCGAATGAAACATATTGAACGGTCCAGCTACATCCTAGATACCGGAGATGCTAGGATTTTGATCGGTAGGTGGCCTCTCTTGGGTCCCTCATCTTCGCTTATCCGTCATGATCAGTTCTTGTCACCGAGAACCTATGATACCGTCATATACTACAGGGTGCGCCAAAATTACCTGCTCAAATATTCACCGCTGTAA